ATTATGGAGACATTCAAACCACAGCACTGTTGTAGCCTGAACAAATTTTTAGTTTCTTTAATTAACATACTTTTTAAAAACAAAAGCTTATGTGTTTATAGCAAAACTGAGAGGTAAGTACAGTGAGTTCTCATATGCCCTGTCCGTACACATGCACGGCCTCTTCCACTGTTGATGTCCTACTCCAAGCGTTACATTTGCTGCAGCTATGGATTTCGACCATAGCTATGGATTTCACTCTGCACTTTTGCTGCCTTAAAAAGCCTCTGTGCTCTGCCTGTTCCTTCCTAACCTCTGGCAATTGCTTACCTCTTTACTGTCTGGATGATTTGGCATTTTCCCCCCCCAGTTGGAATCATACAGTACATAGCCTTTTCACTGGCTTCCTTCACTTAGTAATATGCGTTGATGTCTCCATGTCTTCTCATGGCTCAACATCTCATTTCTTTTATTGATGAATAATACTGAGTTGCCTGGCTACAACACAGTTTATCCATTTACCTACTAAAGGACATGTTAGCTGCTTCCAAGTTTTGGGACTTATGAACACAGGTGCAGTAACCATTCATTCCTGAAATAAGTTTTAGGTTCATTTGGGTAAATACCAAAGAGCATGCTTGCTGGACATATGGCACGAGCACGTTTAGTTTTGCAGGAACCTGCCGAACTCTCTTCCAAAGTAGCCATGCCATTTTGCATTCTCACTAGCAATAAATGAGAGTTTCTGTTCCTGCACCTCTTCACCAGCGCTGGTGTTTGGATTTTGACCATTCCGACAGGTCTGTAGTGGGATCTTGTTCTACTTTGAAATCCCCTAATGACATGGGATGTTGCACACCTTTTAATGTTCTTAATTGCCATTTGTGTATCTTCTTTAGTGAGGTATCTGTTTATACCTTTGCTGACTTTTAAACTGGGTTATGCATTTTCTTACTACAAGGCTCAAATTTTTTGTATATTTTGGATAAGTCTTTTATCAGACGCGTCTTTTGTAAATATTTGCTCACAGTTTATGGTTTGTGTTCTCACTTTCTTGATACTGTGTTCTGCAAAGCAGAGGTGTTGAATTTTTAAAAAAGTTATAGATATTTCTTTTGATAAAAAAGTGATCAAAATACAATTACATTTGTTCTCTGTTCCAAAGGAGGGGGATCTATATGTATATATGCTCTTCTAGTTCCCCAATTATATTCTGATGGATGCTATACATTTCTCCTGTGATGTTACTGTGGTGGTCACTGTGGGTGCTGCTGCGGAGTGTACTGTGGAAGGGAGCTACACAGCAATGGGAAGCCTGATGCTCAACCCCTAATTCACTCTGTACTATTCATGTGGCTTTGGAATCTAGAGACCTCATTTTCTAGTTCAGTCCTGAACTGCAAAACATGTCTTGTCCATCTCTCAAGCTGTTGGGAGAATACGATTTAGAGAGTCCAGTTCAGTTGCCCAAGGACAACCTATGGAGTGGTAGCCATGTTTGGTGATATTAGCTTTTTTAAAAAAAACTTAAATAAAATCTAATTGACAAATGAAAATCATATGTATTCAAGGTGCATGGTGTGATGATCTGATATACATATACACTGTGTACTGATGAGCATATATATACATATATATAGAAATATATAAATCAATGTATATGCATGTACATTGTACACTGATGACCACAATCAAATTAATTCACATGTCCATCATTACCAATAGTTACCATTATTGTGAGCCAAGGTAGAAGGGGGTGTTTTAGATTTCAATGAAGTTCAGCATATCCATTATTTCTTTCATGGATTGTACCTTGGTGTTGCATTTAAAAGTCTTTGCCATACACATGGCCATGTATATTTTCTTCTACATTATCTTCTGAGAGTTTTATAGTTTTGTGCTTCACATCTGTACCTATGATCTATTTTGAGTCAATTTTTTATGAAAGATATAAGATCTGTCTGTCCCTCCTTCTTTTTCTTCTTTTTGCATGAGGCTATCCAGTTGTAGCTCTGGTTCCTCTGTCAAAGATCAGTTGGTTCTTCTATGTGAACTTATTTCTGAGCCCTCCATTCTGTCTTTTTGATCTATTTGTCTATTATTTTGCCAATAATATGCTGTCTTGAATATCGTACCTCTATAGTAAGTCTTGAAGTCTGATAGAATCTGTGCTGTCCAACTTTGTTTCTTTTACTTCAATATTGAATTGGCTCCTTTGGATCTTTCACCTCTCCATATAAACTTTAGAATTAATATATTGGTATCTACAAAATAATTTTCTGGAATTTTTATTGCAATTGTATTGAATCTATAGATCAAGTTGGGAAAAATAAATTTTGATAATACTGAGTCTTCTTGTCCATGAACATTAAGTTCTTCTTTGACAGTTTTCACAAGAGTTTTGTACTCTGCATCATGTAGACTGCATACATATTTTGTTAGATTTGTTCCTAAGTATCTAATTGCATCTAATTGGGAGTGTGGGTTAAATAAATGGTATTTTAAATGTTGAACTCCACTTGTTCACTGCTGGTATACAGAAAAACAATTACATTTATATATTAACTTTGTGTCTTGCAAACTTGTATAACTGCTTATTCTAGAAATTTTGGGTTCATTCTCTAACTTAACTACATACTATGGTGATCAAAAATATGGTGTATACTTATACTTTTAAAAAGATACAGTGTCATTAATCCCCCTCAAAATACTCAAGATTCTTTCTTTACTTCAAATATACTAATTCTATCATCCCTGGCAATGTGCCTTTTACTATAATAAGGTTATCTAACATTTAAAAATTTACTGTATATAAAATGTAAAGTTTTCTTTCTTTCTTCCTTATCTGTATCCCTATTAGTATTTCCTTTTCTTGTCTTACTGCATAGGCTAGGGCTCCATATAGTACTGAAATGGTGAGAGGGGCCATCTTTGCTTTGTCCATAATCTTAGTGGGAAAACTGAGTTTTTCACCATTAATGATGATGAAAGCTGTTGGATTCCTGTAGATAATCTCTAGTAAGTTGAGGAAGTTTCCCTTGATTTCTAGTGTTCTGAGAGTTTTTATCATGAATGGGCACTGAATTTTGTCAAATGTCTATTCTGCATCTACTGATCATGAGATTTTTCTTCATATCCTGTGGACATGGAAGATTACATTTTTGAATGCTGAGCCAGGCATATATGCCTGGGACAAATACCACTTACTCGTGGTGTGTAGTTCATTTTATACATTGTTGGGTTCAATTAGCTAAATTTTTTGAGAGTTTTTCCATTTATGTTCATGAATGATATCAGTCTGTATTTTTTTTTTTAAATGTCTTTGTTTTTTGTATTATGGCAATGCTGGCTTCATAGAAAGTTGAGAAGTATTTCCTCTGCCACTATCTTCTGGAAGAGACTGTAGAGAACTGGTATCATTTCTCCTGTAAATGTCTGTTAGAATTCACAAGTGAACCATTTGGACCTCGTGATTTCTGCTTTGGGAAGTTATTGACTCAACTTCTTTAATAGATACAGGCCACAAAGACTACATCTTCTGGGGACTGGGGATTTAGCTCAGTGGCAAAAGCGCCTGCCTGGCATGCGCAAGGTCATGAGCTCGGTTCCCGGTACCAGAGAAAAACAAAACAAAAAAAAGACTACGTCTTCTGTTAATTTTGCCAGATCTTTCAAGGAATAGGTCCATTTCATCAAGGTTATCAAACTTGTGGGTTCAGAGCTGTTCATAAGAGTTCCCTTTTTATCCTTTTAAAGGCCATGGAATCCATAATCATGTCCCCTCTTGCATGTCTGATATTAGTACTCTGTGTCTTCTCTTTTTGTTTCTTTGCCTGGCATAAGGCTTGTTGGTGTTATTGACTGTTTCAGACAACCAAGAAATTTTCGGGGCAGCAGTTTGTGCTGTGACCTCACTTCCCTGTGGGAACTGAAAGAGTTACCTTTTCAGTTTGTTCAACTGTTTGCTTGTTAAAACAAAGGGCTGACTTCCAAGCTGTTTACATGTTGGCCTGGAAACCGGAAGTCTTTTTAGTTTATTTTTACAGAAAATTTACTAGCCTAAATCTGGAGATAATTCTTAATTTCCTAACTGGCTGGAAGATTTATGGTTAAGAGCTTTTTTTTTTGAGACAGGGTCTCACTATGTAGTTCAGGCTGGCCTTGAGCTCACTGTGGAGCCCAGACTGGCCTTAAACTTATGGCAATCCTCCTGCCTCAGCCTCCTGAGTGCTGGGATTACAGGCATGCACCACCACACCCAGCTAAGAGCCCTTTTTTAAAAAACTACACTTTGGTGGTATTTTTACATGGTATTTGTATGACTAGGGCCAAGCTGGTTTCCAAGGTTTCCATTAGGGTGAAAAATAATCCTAATTTAATATTTAGGACAAGTGAAATACAGTAAAAAGAATGGATTGGACATTTTTATGTATAATTTGCCCAGGGTATAACTGATTTACAAATTTAGTTGCTAGCTGAAGCCTCAGTTCTAACTTACTGATAATAATATTACTTGGACAGGTAAACTGGCAAAAGAACAAAGCCTCTGGCAGGTGACACTTGCATTATGGCCCAAAAATAGTTCTGTGGCTGGGAGCTGTTACTACTCCCTACTAAGAGGGCTAACTAAACGAGTCTTGTCAGGTTTACAGGGACATTTATAACACTTTTCAACTGAACTGCAAAGGCTGGGAATCACTTACTACTGTTAGATGCACAAATTCCTGGAATGTGCGGTAGCAACGGGGTGGGGCAGGGAGCGGAAATCCTTTATTAAACCACCTCCACCCCACGAGACAGTCACCATCATGACGCTAGGGCACATGACACACAAAGACGTAGGCAGGTATGGCCGTTTAGCTCTTACTGTTGTTCCTCTGAATAATTATTGATAAATCGTAGGACCTTTCTATTCTCTGATTTCCTGTTTAACAGTAAATGGAAATAACTACTAAGAGTGACCAACAGGCTTGATTGGGTAACATTTTGAGTTCCTTAAGCTGTAACATGGTCAACAAAAAGTGTTTATTTGGCCCTCACAGGGTGTGCATTCCAGCACAGTTTCTAGGCATTTACAGGAATCATTAAGTAAGTAGAGGACACACCTTTATTCCCAAGTAATTATTATACTTCATTGTAAGACTAATCCCAGGGAGACTCAGGAAACACACTAACAAACACATAACCAGCTGCAGCCACCGACAGTGACTCTCATGATACCCCAGTGGTCCATGTCCACATGCAGAGGAAGTGAACTGAAGTTCTGGAGGACTCAGGAAGCAAAACTAGGCTTACGTGGTAAGTTCACTACTGAGGGTCTAGTTATTTTCAAAAATTGTGTTAGCATAATTTCATGATACTATGTGATTTTTGCTTTAAAGGTCTTATACTCCAAAATTCACTTTTATAATAAAAATAAGAGGCAATCTAGTATAACTACATGTGTTAATTATCACACACATAATTATCAATTTTTTACATACAGCTTTTCCCCTGAGAAAAAAATGCACTTATGTACATAAATGATGGTTTAATGTATGGTCTTAGAGTAAGGAATAATAAAAAAGTAACAGCAATAAGCATCATCTATGCTACTGAACCTGAGAAAGGTATTTCATAACACCTGCAGAAGAAATTACATTAAATCAGACTATACTAAGAAAAGGGAGGGCCGGCCGTGGTGGCACAGGCCTGTAATCCCAGCACTCAGGAGGCTGAGGCAGGAGGACCCCTGTGAGTATGAGGCCAGCCTGGGCTACAAAGTGAGACCCTGTCTCAAAAAAAAAAAAAGGTTGTAGCAATTTCATCCATACTAAATAACATGTTGTGCAAATCCACTGCTGGGTGCAGTGGTGCATGCCTGTAATCCCAGCGCTCGGGAGGCTGAGGCAGGAGGATCTTTGTGAGTTTGAGATCAGCCTGGGCTACAAAGTGAGCTGAAGGCCAGCCTGAACTGCATAGAGAGACCCTGTCTCAAAAAGATTAAAAAAAAAAAAAAAGAAAAAGAAAAGGGGGAGGTAACTAGATAACCATGTCAAAGTTCAAAGGAGAAAAGCTTTAAAATGAAAGCCCTACATTTATCTATGAAATGTATATTCATCAGCACAGCTAAAAAGTCTTCACAAACTAATTAGAAGCACCTAGTAAGGTAAAAATCCTGAGTTGGGCATACGGTATGGTGATAAGCTTGCAGGTCAGATAAGTGTTCGGGCACACTCAGTTACCTCTTCTCTTGCACACCTGCCTGGGTTGGCCTCTCATTATGTCCAGCAAAAATTCACTCAATAACCTGGATGGTGCTTAGAGAATGGCTTTGTGATAACTATTATTAATTGTGCTGTGTACTTCAATGAAAATAAAAGCCAAGCTTTTTGAGACTCACCAAGTGTTACTATAGTCATGTAGCCTATAATGAGGTTTCCATATTTCCAATGATTAAAAATGCTTATCCACATCTATGCACTTTTAGAGAAAGATATTACACTTTCACCCTCTAATTTTTGGTGTTTTTAGTTTGCTTGTCCTAACCATTTTTTTTTCTTTTCTTTTTCCAGTACTGATATTTAAACCCAGAGCTCACACATTTAAGGCAAATGCTCTACCACTGAATACATTCCCACCCTGGGCTAAATACTTTTGCCTGGGAAAGCTTAAGTTTTTGCCTGCCAGGTATTTGTAATTCTCCTACACTGACGTAGACAATGATGTATTCATAAATCGGCTCCCCTCAAAACAGCATCAATTTGAAATAACTGGTAACTTGTGTGGCATAAACACTTCCAGTTTCAAAGTTCCAAGATTCAACACCTAGCTCCACAAATTACTGAATATTTAACAATAAGATCTCATGCTCAAAGCCAGCTTTAGCCATGTAAATAATACGATCATCACTTTTTGCACAACTTGCAGCAGCATTTTCACTAACTGCTCGCTCACTCAATCCATCATGGGATTCCTCCAGCTGTGGGGCACAGACCATCGTAACATATTTCAGCGCGGAATCGATGATGGGTGAAAATTGTTCTCTCTGTGAATCCCGGCAGAGGTAAAGCTAAATAAGCCATTTGCTGAATTACTTAGAACCAAGTATTTATTGCATCACAAACACATTATTTCCTCCTTGCCAGGAAATGTAATAGAGCCTAGACCCCAATTGCTGTTTGTTCTCTGCCTCCAGTGTAGACTAAATGGGATGGATATTCAATAAGCTGTACTAAGCTGAAGAACACATTTTGGAAATGGTGAGCGGGCACAGAGCCAACATTAATGTCTGGGGGAATTATAGGTGTGAACACTTTCTTCCTACTACTGTATGAAAATGCTCCTGCTATCAATGTTCAGCGGCATAAATAATGACTGCACCTACATGGGTTTTGGTCTTGGATGCTCAAATCCAGAAAGGCAATTGATATTTTCAATGTCAACATTTTGGAGAGTAACATTTTTTCGGATTTGCTAGCATGCTTATTATTTCAGCATGGAACTACCAGGGGAATACGATCAAAAGAAAAACAAAAGTTAAAAGATCTGAACTATGGCAGGAAAAAAATCCTTTTGAATTGATTCTTCTGAAAACAAAACCCCAGGGCTCTTCTATCGTATCAAAGGGAATGGAAGGCAGAGGAAAGGAACACTTAAGATTCTCTCCCAAATCATCATAACTTCAAGTTTCCTGGGGCCAGAGAACACGACAGGAAATTAAACGCTGGCCTCTTCTTTCCTCTCCTCCCGCCAAACCCAAAACGGCACTGGAGCATGAAACTGTACAGTTACTTCTACGCCTTCCTTCTCTGCATCAGTCTGGGTTTTCCTAGGAGTTACGAAAATTACCCAAAGGACATCGGCATTAGAGTGTGTATGAGGTTGGAGATGCTTATGTTTGGGTCTTGACGGCCTCCAAAGGCCCTTACACTAAAGGATTAGCAACCAGCCTGGCGCTCTACTGAAGGTGGGGGAACCTCTAGGAGCAGGGGCCTAGGGGAAGGAAGGCAGGGCAATGGGATGTGCGCTCGAAGCGGACATTGGGACCCCTGGTGCCTCTGCCGGTCTCTCTCTCCTTGCTTCTCAGCTGCTTTGAGGTGAACAAACCTCCTCTGCCACATGCTCCTGCTCCAATATACAGAGGGATAAAGCCATGGGCTGTAACTCCTGAAAGTGAGCCAAAAAATAAATCTCTCCTCCTTATAAAATGATTATCTCAGGTATTCTGTCACACAGAAAGAAAGCTGAGTTATGGGGATTATCTCAAAGGTCATGACATTATTTTAAATCACATTTGGATAAGGCTATTTGGCTCTGCTGTACTAGGATATAAGCCTGTTCACCCACACATCTGCTAATGTTGGAACCACAAACCATGGCAATGGAGGCGGTAGCGGTGTCTTACATCTCTCCCTGGGTCCCTGTGATCCTCCCAACCTGTTGTGCGTGCCTGTGCTAATCTTACTACCCACACCGGCTTCTTCCCTGCATTCCTCCTCTGCAGTGGTGTTAGGAGTGCAGGCGATAGGCTCCTATCCTAGTAGTATAAAGTTCATCAAGTTATGACCTTATCACTGTTCGCACTACTTAAGCCAAATTTCATGCTTAACATTGGGTGAAAACAAAAACGAGTGTCTCTGTTTGGGTCTCCAGGGAACAACCTCCGAGACAGAGGTTAGTGTCCAGGAGTGCCCTGCAGATCCACACCTGGGAAAGAGGGGAGAAAGTGGCACTGGGTAGAGTTTGAGGTGTGACGTAGGCTCAACAGCTTCAGCCACACAGAAGTCAGAGCAGAAATGGCTGAATAGAATAGCGCCACTTCTGACCACAGTGGCTGGTCCTTTATATCCCTAGCACCACCCATCATTAGACGGGAGCCTTTTCTGGAAGGGCATGACCTTGGTGAAAGGGCTCTGTACAGCAGATGTGTTCCCTGGCAGGACTAAAATGTGGAAAGTGATCACTGAAGCACTCCCTGTGGTTAGGGCAGTAAGTCCTTCCTTGAAACGGGACTTGAGTACCACATGCTAGTGTCCACCGCAGCATGTCTCAACCCTGAAAATATGTCATCTTTTACATGCCTTAGATCTTCTGTGATCTAAGTAGTAACACATTAAAAACTATTTCTAAACTATTTTAAAACTGGTACTGGAGCTTAATAACATTAAGCAGGCAAAGTAAGTAAACACCAACACAAACATGTCAACTTACACAAAAATTAACTCACACAGGTCACAGACTTACATGTAACTTAAAAACCCATACAATTTTTAGGAGAAACCTTTAAGACCTCAGGTAAAACAAAGAATTCTTAAGCTTGGGATGGGCAATAGGAAATAGGAAGACAGACCTTTGGTAACTGGGAAGGGAATCTTGAGATGGAGCGAAGCAGGAGGGAAGGGAATAAAAAGAAGATGCATTATGTACACGTGCCTGCACTCTGCAATGAATATAATCATTGTGTACTTCAAATACATACTAATAAAAATAAATATATTTTTAAAAAAGAATTATTGGACTTGATATAAAAAGCATACACCATCATATAGCCAAGAAACTGGGCTTCTTTTTTTTTTTTTTGAGACAAGGTCTCTAGGTAGTGCAGGCTGTCCTAAAAATCATGGCAATCCTCCTGCCTCAGTGTCCCAAGTGCTGGGGTTACATGTAATTATTACCATTCCCGGCAATAATGTGGACTTCACCAAACTAAAAACTTTTGCTCTGCAAAAGCCCAAATGAAAATGATGAAAAGACAAAGTACAGGTGGCAGAAAATATCTGCAAAGCACGTATCTGACAAAAGGCTGATACCTACAGAATATAAAGCATTTTCAAAGCACCAGTTAGAAAATGGACAAAATACCTAAGCAGATATTTCATTGAAAACAATATACAGACGGCAAATACAGAGGCAAGAAAGATGTGCCACATTACCAGCCATCAGCAAATACAAAGTAAAGCCACAGTGGGACAGTGCCAAGCCCTGTCAAGCAGCTACAATAAAAAACCGAGGCCACACCAAAGCTGAGCAAGGGAGTGGGGCATCAGCATCAATCACAGCTTGCTGCTGGCAGCGTAAAATGGCACAGCCTCTCGGGAAGATGGTTTGGTAGTTTCTGCGTGTTTAAAGTCTTCTGTTGTTAGGACGTTTGCAGTACCTAATGTTTACATTCCTGGTGTGGAGTTGGGACATGTATGTAACACGCCCTGATCCTTTTTTCATCCCTTTTCTCCTTTTTCATCCTTTCCCTGTCCCTCTATCTCTTGGTTCCCTTCCTATTTGACAATGATCTATCTCCTGATTATCTGAGGAGGAGGACATTCTCTTGTTAGAGAAAGCATTGAGGACACACGATGATTTGATTATTATTTGTTAGGGTTATGTTTATTGTTTGTTAGGGTTTCTTAAGATAAAGCTTCACTATACAGTCCGGACTGGCCTTGAGTTTATGATCCTTCTGTCTCAGCCTTCCAAGTGCTGGGATTACAGGCGTGTGTTGGACTGCATGTGAAGAAGCATAATTCTTTAATCCTTGCTAAAAAGAAACCACGTTTGGTATCCACCCATTTGTACTAGCTATGCCCTCGGTTCTCGCTCAATAAAAGGTGACTGAGATTGGTATTCAAGGCTGCAGTCCAAGAGGCTGTAAGCCCCCTGATCCCAGAATTATGCCTGTCTTGTTTTTCTTGTTTCTTTTACTTATCTTTTCATCTGCAGGTACCTCATTCTCAGGACCTGTCACCCCTGGACAGAAACAGAATCTACATCTGACAATTATCTATCTTTTATTTTGCTGTTTATTTAATTTTGAGTTCCTCATACAAAAGAAACCATGTATTTGTTAAGGTTGTGTGTCTAGCTTATTTAACATTATGGTCTGAAGGTGCATCACTTTTCCTACAAATGACTGAAATTTATCTTTATAGCAGAGTAGTGCTCCACTGTACGTTAATGCCACATTTGCTTCATCTGTTCATCTGCTGGTGGACATTCAGGCTCTTCCAAAACTGTTCTTTGGGCCACAGCTCCAGGGCAGAGAATGTGCAGCAAGATATGTACTTTCCTGAGAGGTCAAAGTAGCTGACGGTTATCTCCCAATCCAAGCATTGCTTAACTATGTAATTGGTTGGCAGGTCCTTAAAAAGAAGTAGATTTGGAGGCAGAGGATGAGGTTGGCCTCAAACTCTGGGAGATATGCATTTAGGCACCACTAAAATGCAGGAAGGTAGTAATGGAGACGATTGGGTCCAAGCTACGGTTGAAGTTGGTGTTGGTGGCTCCCTCAAGGTACAGATCACAGTGACAGGTACTTTCCCCCTTTTCTTTTAGGACATAGTCCAAGCACTGCAGGATGGAATGGTGATCAGGATGGAGCTGGGTAGATGGCCGATTCCAGCTTGGACTTCTTGGCATGGTTAAGCACAGCTCCTTCATCAGCTGCAAGGTGAAGCACAAGCCAAGGAGGACTATCAAGTCCCACAGCCCTAGGTCCCTGTCAATTTCTGGATAAACTCAGCCCTGATCACCTTTTTATTGTGCAACAGCCACAGGCATTATGAGATCAAGCTCTGGGCCCACAAAGACCTCTGAGGGCATATGCTCGCCAACCCAACTTTTGGTTACTATTGCAGAAATTAGTTGCTGCCATATCCTAGGGATTTGTTACTGGACTTGGTACTACTGGGCTGGAAGTGTTCCAGGCAGCAGAGATCCCAACCACTAGGCTGGTTAAAAAGACGGAGGGACCCCAGCCTCGATGTGCTCTGACAGGTGGAAATTACAAAAGGTCGGTTTCTATAGACACATTCCAAGTCTAACAACACCATGGTTTCCTACCAAAGTGTTTTGTACATGTCTGGGCTTCCCTAACAGATTTTATAAATTAGATCATACACAATAAAGTTATTTCTGTGCTCGAGATCACAAGTGGCTCCCCTGCCTCTGACAGAAGCTATCATCCCTATTTTTTGAGGGATTTCTGGTATAGTTGGAAGGATAATCCAGAATGTTCATTAAAAAGTTGTAACAATTATACAAGGCCAAGAATGTATCTGAGTGGCCAGCGGGTGAAGGAGGCATGTCAGATCCACAGGAGGATCACAGAAGAGGAAAAAAGAAGCTGGGGCAGAGAAGCGAGTCATGGGACAGTGCTGTGGTGTGAAAGTGTGCCCCGAAGTCCAGTGCTGGAAATCTGACCCCAAGGCAGTGGCGTTGGGAAATGGGGCCTAATGGGGGGTGTGCGGGTACCGGGGGGCACTACCTCCATGGATTGATGAATGCCCCATGATCTCAGGAGCAAGGTCCTTACAAAGGAGGCTGTCGGCCCTCTGGTACTCTTTCTTGCTCTCTGCCATGGGATGAGACATTAGTACATGGCCCCCTACCTTATTTCTCACAGCTTCCCTAACTATGAGAAGTGATTTTCTGCCACTATAGTGTAGGTGCCCTGGAGACAGGAGCATCACTTCAACCTGCCCTGACCCAGTGCTGTACACAACTAAGTTAGGCAGAAACTAATATAGTCAGAGAGAGGCTGGGCTCTCAAGGAAGATAACATAAAAAAATAAATAACTGTGGCGGCTGATGCACCTGAAGGCGGCCAAGTCTCAAGATGCATCGGTCAGGCTTAATGCCTCCCTAGGAGAGAAACAGTAATTTGAAATTGTACTGTAATAGGCACGACCTGGCCCAGAAATTCAGAGAGGCCTCAGCTGCCCAGGTAGGTGACCAGGGCATCTACACCCATCCCTTTCCAAAAATGCCTTTGTCTTTTCCATCTATCCTTGCTACATGACCCGTTTCCCTAGAGGATCAGTATTAGCTAAGTGGCTATATTTGTAATCCTACAGGTGGATTTGATCCATGCTTCGACCTACCCCTGACAAAGGGCCTTCTTGGCCACCCACTCGGGACCGCCTCCTGGAAATCCAGGAGCTGTTCTGCTTCTCCTTATGACCAAGGAAACTCTCTTAAATTCCTTAGTTCGCGACTTCACTCCTGGATGTTGCAGCACCTGGGGCGCTGGGCACGTCCGACCGCTAACAAGTCGGGGGTTGTGGTTCCCCCACATCACCAGCACCTAGAACAGGGCAGGCACAAGGAGGTGCACAATAAACGTGCGAGGAGACCCGCGAGGGGGCTGGATCTGCTGGCCGAGGGGTCTGCAAGCAGCTCAAGCACGGCAGGCGCGCCCCTCGGTCCCTCCCGCGCAGGAGGAGCCGGGCTGGGTCTCCCAGCACCTCGCCAACCCGGCCAGGGCGGTGCCCCGCCCACGGGCCTCCGTGCCGGGCCCCTGGCGTGGGCGGACAGCCATCACCTGATACTCACCCGGGCAGGCGGGATGGTGCCCGAGTACACCCACTATTCTAATGAGTGACGACCTGACTGCCGGAGGAACCTCACAAGCTCCCCAAGTTCCACAGCCTCCTCCAGGGCCGGTTCGGCCAGGCGGCCGGCGGGAGCACGCATGCGCAGCGAGGGCGTGCGGGTGAGGGCGGACCAGGCATGCGTAGGACGCGCGGCCCCGCCCCTCGCGCTGGGCGGTAGCGACGCATGCGCGCGGCCGGCCTTAAGGGCGGCGGCGGCCGGGGCGGTTCAGTCGGCCTGTCAGCCGGCTTCGAGACGCGGCTTGCGGCTGTTGCGGCCATGGCGGCGGAGGAGGAGGTGGACTCGGCGGACACCGGTCAAGGGTGAGGACGGCCGCGGTCCCGGACGCGGGGCGAGGAGGGATGGGGGCCGGGGCTCCGCGAACCCTCGATGCCGGGTAACTTCTGGCGCAGATAGCAAGCTCGGAAGCGATCGCTCGCGTCGCTCGGGGCGATCTGCCTCTGCTTCAGACGGTGCCGTCCGTTTTTTGTTGGTGCTTCTGCGGTCAGGGGTCCTGGCTTTCTTGGAGAAGCGTGCACACACACTCACACGCGTGTGCGCGTCCCGGGAGACCACACCGTGTGGGGAACTGCCAAGTAGGAGCGCGGCTGTGTACTGTGGAGCGTCTGGATGAAGAGGCAGGCTGAGTTTATTTTTTCTGTCTGTAACTGACCTTCGCGCACTCCAGAGTAGGGGGCTAGTTAACTGGTGGAAAAAAATTAACGACCATGAGGATCGTTGCTTTACTTTTCAAGACTAGTAATTGATATGGAAAGTAAACTTCTATAGCTCCCCCTCCTGCGTGAAATATTTCGGCAGAAGTTCGATGTCTGGAGAGATTTTGAGAGGAGCTGTAACCAAAGTGGTAGACGATGGGATGTTAGAAACAGGTGCCTGGGAAGATGACGAGGAGAGTTGTGAAATGAGAGAAGCTGCTTCTGAGTTTTGTTTCTGTGATGAGTGGGGCCAGCGTTTTGGCTTGTTGATGAACTTCCTCGTTAGATACGGACGGTGAGATGTGGAATGTGCTGGGGTGACAAACAGGAACCTAACTGGTACTTGTGTGCCCATTGGGTGAGTCATGACGTGTTTGGCTCTGAGACTACTGACAGTGGACTCTTTCGTCTTGTTGTGGAGCTTGGGAGACCAGGGCACAACGATGATTTTATGGCTTAGCGTCGTGGCCGAAGATCATGGAGGACAGCCTCTGAAAATTCACCAGCAGCGGACCAGCCGTGGTCCCTGCACGGGGTGGCCTCCCTGTGTTTTTGGCAGTACAGGTGAGCAGGGCTCAGTGTCCATGGTGCTGTGGCCTTCTGAACTGTATCAGGCAGCCCCGAAGAGAAGGCGAAGCCCAGCTCCTGCTGGGGGTTCCCTGAATGTGGTCATATTCAACTTAAGGCTTAACCCAAGACACCTGTGTGCTAGGTATCAGTGTTCCTGCCACCAGCGTGTAGCAAGGCTGGATCAGACGCCCTGACCCAAGGCATCTCCTCCAGGTTTCTGCTGTTTTCTACTTGGATTTGGACTCATATTTGGCTCTTGTTTTGAGTGAAGTTCCCTAAGCCGTAAGACACTGAGGGTTCAGGTGGAGCCAGGTGCGTCTCCATAGCCAGGTACGAAGAGGGCAAACGATCTGACTGGTGGTTGGAGGCAGGACCTCTAGGAAGTGATCAAGATCGGTAAGATCTTTAGGGTGCAGCCCCAATGATTGAATCCTGGCAGTTTTATAAGGAGACAAAGACAGACCAGACACACTAACATGTGTAACGTCTGTGCTTCCTGACCCCTGCCATGTGACTCCCCATGCCATCCAGGACTTTGTCAGCAAGAAGACCAACCCCGGTGCAACCCCACAGCTGTGAAAGAGAATACTTCAATACCTCTTCCTAATTTGCTCAGTCTGTGGTGTCGTCTTACCGGCAACAGCCACAAACAGACTGATACAGATGGGAAGGGGATGCTAAGGGAGGAAACAAGTGTGATACAGTCGTCTGACAGCTTTTTGCAGCCTCTCACTCTCCTGGCCCTTAGTGAAGCCAGGCACACCAGGGAGCCCTTTGCTTTCCATGTCCCCCCCGGCTGAGTTTCAGTCCAGTTGCGGAAGCCCAGTGTAACAGCAGTGGAGTAGACATCTGTGAATGGCTGTAAGGTTGGTCCCAAGTGAGTTAGGAGGAAAGTCACCACAGAGCTGCTCCCTGGTAGGGTAGACCGTAAAGTGGGTAGTTTGCAGTGCTGTGCTGGACTGGGTCGGTCCTGGGAAGCCAGTGCTAAAGTTTGAGTTTTTCAAACTGCTGCCAGCTTGAAGTTGGGAGTATCAGCATTCTAGCAGTTGTTAGATGCCATCCATAAGGTATTAATAAAGACTTTTCTCTCTTCTGGTTGGCCAGCATCCTACTGAGTTTACTTTAGGATTGGAAGCAGTTTTTCCCTTGGAGATAGAACAGTGGCTTTCTCTATTTTATCCTTTAAAAATCTGTGAAGATATGTGCCTTCCTCCTGTCTGCCATCTCCCTCCTGTAACCCTTACCACAGGACTTCTTAAAAATGAGGAAACTGTACTCTGGGAGGCTGAAGCAGGAAGATCACAAGTTTGAGCCCTTCTTGTGCAACTTAGTGATTTAGCGTGCTCTGTCTCAAAATTGAAAAGAAAAAGGACTGAGGATGTCACTCAATGAGAAAACCCTGAGTTCAGTCCCCAGTCCTTGAAAAAATTAAAATTAGTGCTTTTTATTTTTCTCAGCACCTATCCTTCTTGGGTCCTTTTCAGTGTTTGGTACTGTAATGGTAGGTACTTCTTTCTGGTGCTGTTATTAGACTTTTATAATATTTTGCTTCTTATCTTACCTGAGACCAACTTTTAGCTGCTTTTCTTAGGTTCTCTTGACTGTTTTCTAAAAGTAGTCATTCTCCAAGATTCTATTTTCATTCCTTTTATTTCATATTGAAACAATACTAAAAGCACCATTCTTTCCTTTAATGTCCCTATATTTATTAGGGCAATTTTATGCTCGTGGTCATCCAGAATAATAACTGTGGCATTTCTGACTCTTCTGCACCCCCTTTATTGCCTCTGAGAACCAAATCTGGGACCAAGCCCAGTAGATTCCAAGTGTACATCACCTTTCAGACCCCACTGTAACCCAGGAGCCTCTTGGTTCACACTGTTCTTTCTGCTCTCCGGATTATTACGTGTTTGGTAACCCGCTTTCCTCATTTCATCAGTTACTTTTTATTTCCAAGAGGAACATCCTTGTTTATAGCACAGACACATACACCAAGGCCTTATTCTATGTCCTCACTCACACTGGCTTTAAGTGTGTCCAGAGCCTGACTACAAGCTTTGGGGCTTTATTTCCTTGGTCTACACTGGGCTGTACCTGTTTCTTAGACACACTGCTCGGCCTCCTCCCATTTCCCCATGGTTTGGTTCACATTGTCTCCCCACTTCAAAGCAGATGGTGACCTTCCTTCTGTAAAGGTCCCTGATGTTTTTCAAACTTTCTTTATCGCACTTTAATTCATATTTCCTAGCATAGTTATTTGCATGTTTGTGTTTCCAGTTCAGTTACAACACCTTTTGCCTTACCCAAATGCCTTGTAGAGCCAAAAGGGGCCTTATAAATAGTAAGTATTAGTAAATTTTTATTAGACACTTCAACTGTTAGAAATTTATGCTGACGCAAGCAGTAAGATCAGAAATCTAGTAGATTATGCAGTTTTCGAGTGTGTAAATTCGCTTTCATCTTAAGATATTCAGAAAACTTTGCCTTTGAATAAGACAGTCAGGACCCTGAGCTTTCATGGAGGATGAGAGGAAGATTATGTTTCTTAACCTTGGATGAACCAGCCCGTGCCTCCTTGTTCTTCCTGCCCTCAAATGCCACTCACAAGGCAGCAAATACAGGCCTCGGTCCTGTGACAAAGAACTTATGAAGTCCAGGGCCGTCCACTTAATTAAAAACAACAGGATAGTAGGTTTCAGAATGACGGATGTCTCTGAATGAGTCCTTGAAGGCTGGGCCTGTATTGTATATAATGGCTACTGTGAAACTGCCATTCATTTTAAAGTAGCCTTGACTGATCATTAGGTTTTTAGCTTAGCCTGTATAATTCCCCACTCCTAATTGTGAGTTATAAATAATTATATGGAGAGATGACTTTATTAAGATAATTACTCAGTTTGAGACCCAGGAGTTTTAGTTTTATTTTCTTTCTTCTCAGTGGATAAGTTTATTTTAAAGCTAGCACAAAGGGGGCCAAGGGTATAGCTCAGCGGCATAGCACCTGCCTGGCAAGCTCGAGGGCATGAGTTCGATTCCCAGTACCCAAAAGCAAACAAACAAACAAAAAAACTAGCACAAAGAAAGCTTCCTCTGCTTTGGGAAGCAGTGTCAATCTAAAGCACACAGGTAGCTGCTTCAGGTTTGCTGGAGGAAGAGGTCCTGTGTCTGGTTCCTGAGTAGTTTGTTTACCTTCTGAGAGGAGCCAGGAAGTGATGGAGAAAAATATTAGGACCAGATATTGGAAGACTTGTAATTGGTGTGTTACAATATACTTGAGGGCCTGTGTTGTCATTCGTTTGATGGTCAGTGATAACGTGAATCATTTTAGTATCAGTTATCTAAAATAACATGTGGTTAGTCATTTATAGTTATATGAGACATAGTCTTTTTTTCTCTTTCCCAAGAATAAGATTTTTTGTTTTGTTTTTGGAACTGGAAATTGGACTCAGGATCTTGCACTTGCCAGGCAGGCACTTTGCCACTGGGCTATATTCCCGGCCCCCAAGAATAAGATTTAAGAAGTCAGCTCCCTAAAAAGGAAGGGTTTTAGTTGTGTGACAGCTTTCAGTTTGGAAGTTTTCTTTCTTTCTTTTTCTTTTTCTTTTTTTTTTTTTTTTTTTTTTTTTTACCAAAAAACATAAAAATGGAAGTTTTCAACCACTCACTGGTTGAGGAATTATTTCAGAGGAGTATATATATTCATACCTCTAATTAATTTGGATCTTTACAATAAAATTAGAACTCAATGGCTTGTTTAAAAAATGAGATTGAATACTGTGCTTAGTTTATAGAAAATAGTAATAAACATGACTTTTTTTCCTCTTGACTGTATCAGGGTAGTGATGGAGTCTATTTTAAACAAAATTGTATTATATTGAAATTCTCCTTACTTATAACCTAATTAGAAATGTTATTTTAAGTGGCCAAGAGTATGTAGAAATTGGCCAGATTTCTGTATATTTTCTTCAGAATACTCTGAAACCTCTTTCACTATTTCACAATATTTATAGATTGTGTAATTCAGGTTTAGTAATACTATAGATAATCAAGTGCCTCAGAGAAGAAATCAAGATTACCAGGAAGAGTAAATACTAGTGGCATGGGTTATTAGTGCAGTGTTAGTGATACTGGAAAAAAGAGAGGTGGGGAGAGAAGGGAGTGAGAGAGAGAGAGGGAAAGAGAAGAGAGGGAGGGAGAGAGATTAGATAGACTGTTAAGGGGAAAAAACTATAGTGTCCACCTCTCAGACCTAGGATACTCAAAATCCGATTCAGGGCCACGGCTGTAACTCAGTGGTAGAGTGTTTGCCTGTTACCACAGAAATAATTCATTCATTAACTTAGACCATTTTTAAAAATCAGATTCTTGGATAAATATGCTCTATTAGTATATTGGGCCCTTCTTGGCTTTCTTTGCATTTTGTGCTCCTACTGTGGTCTTTCAAAGCTTTCCTCACTGAAAAGTCTGCTCACTAAAATTTTCTGTTTCCACACCAGTGATTATAGAACAAGAAACCCTTTATTTGTTTTTTTGATTAGATGTTCAGCGCTTGATAATAAGGTCAGTGCCTAGCTGATGGAGCTATGTAGAAAGGCCTTCAGGGTACGTTATTATGCATCCCTAGTTTTACAGATCCTTACTTTGGGAAAATTACAGTCCGTATGGTGAATTTTTTTTTTTTTTTTTGATTGAAATCCTCTGGTCTTTTCTGAAGTCCGGGTCTTAGCAAAGGTAGTAGTCCTTACTGATTATCTGCTTCCATAGAGAGGTTAAGCTGAGTGTGGTGGCGCACGCCTATAATCCCAGCACTTGGGAGGCTGAGGCAAGAGGATTGTTGCGAGTTTGAGACCACCCTGAAATACAAAGTGAGCTCAAGGCCCACCTGAACTGCATGGCGAGACCCTGTCTCAAAAAAAAGAAAAAAAAAAGGTTAGGTTTTGCTTTTCTGTTTATTTTCCAATGCTGTGAGGAGGGAGGCCTCTGTCCAGTCTACTGTCTCCTAATGAGGTCCTGTGAATAGTTACCTCAAATTCTGTGACCTCATGAGTCCCACCAGCCACATCCTAAGCCTGCGGGAGGCCAGACGCCACCCACTGGCATGGAAAGGTCAGTGGTCTCTTCGAAGGTTAACTTACCCCGAAGACAGGGCATAGGGGTGGATGGGGAAGTTTTAGGATTTGAGACAACAGAGGTGGCAAGTTAGGTGTGGAAACTCTTGAACAAAGGGCAGTCAACTAAAGGGTGAGGACAGACCTTGCTTTTCATTCCCTGGAAATGTTCCCTTGAGGCTTTTTCTGGGTGTAGCAATCAGTCCTGCAGGTAGTTCTAAGACAGAAGTAGAAACAGTTTCTGTAAAACATTCTATCCTTATGTTAAAGTAGACCTGGACGGAAACATTGTCAGGGCTTACGGGAAATGAACACATTTGCAGTTCTAGTAAGAATGAAGATATTTTACTGTTTTGTTAAATGTAGAGTTTGTTTTTTCTTTTTAAAGTTAAATATGCTTTAGAAAACCCTGACTTGGAAAAATACTGTCTGCTTTGATGGAGAAACTGCGAGGAAAGTTGGGGCTCCTTGTGTGTGATAGAAGAGCTCTCATTCTCAGTGTCATGCTCTAGATTGCAAACTCTGAGTCAGGCTGGCCCTTAGGGGGCAAAATCCAGGGACAGACTGGCCTGTCCTTTGCAGGTGGTATTGGGTAAGTGGTGTCATGCTGGAGATAGGTACAATTCCTGTATCACGAGCTGGTTGGTAGCTTTTTAAACTCTAGTGCCTTGTACATAGTAGGTATTTAGAGCCTGAATTATCTTTTTAATGAAATTTTTTTGTTTGTTTTGCTACTGGGAATTGAACTTGGGACCTTGTACTTGCCAGGCTGGTGCTGTGCCACTGAGCTGTATCCTTGGCCCCAAAAATGTTTTTCTTAAAAGATTGAAACAGATTGCATTGTGTTTTCTTTGTCCCAACTTGTCTGTGATGTCAGGTGGGGCAACAGTAAATTACAGTTCATTTCACTTCATTGTTTTTTTCGCACTGACCTCTGATTCTCTGGCAAAGAACCCTGCGGTGATTTGAGGGATGTTTGCTTAAGAAAATGGATGAGAGTGAGTTATAGGTAATTTCTTGTTGGTACGAGCTCATATTTTTATTGTCAGTTTGAGGCCTGATGTGTGTCAAGGACAGAAAGCCTCCACTTGGTGACAGTTTACTTTGTAAAAGCTCCAGGGAAACTGAGATTCTTTTATTTTAATCAGCTGTTAACCACTTTTCTTGATGATGAGAAGCTTGCAGAATGAATGGAGATGAATTGCTGCAGCCTGGAGTTCTTTTCCTAGATAATGTGATGTGTAGCAAGGGTGAGAACTTGCCTCGGCTTGCGAGTCAACAGCTGTGTCTCTGGAAGAGTGAGGTGTTCTGGGCAGAGGATGCGGGTGGCAGAGCCGTGGAGACGTGCGACACTGTGGTTGTGAGAAGGCGCAGTGTGCCGGGGCAGGAGGCAAAGGACCTGTGCCCAGCTGAGGAGTGTGCGCTCCGAGCAGTGACGGGCGGCACCCCGTCGGCCGCCTCCGGGGAGCAGCGGGCCCAGAGCCCAATGCCAAGTTTCTGCCTGGCTGTGTACCCTTGGGCCTGATGCGTAACGTTTCTGAACCTCGGCTTTGACATCTGTGAAATGGAGATCTAGAGGGAATCCCCTGGGTTGTACAGTGAATGACTTAATCATTCAGCAAACGTGATCTGTAACCCCAGAGACAAACTACCGGGGAAGGAAGACATGGAGGGTAAGCCTGCGGCACTCAGAAGCCGGGTGCCGCATCAGCCCTGCTGTAACTGAGCAGGTTTCTCTTCTCACAGCTATTCCCATCGCCACGTTTGCTGTCAGTACCGGAGCACCTGGAGTCGCAGGTGTGGGGACCCATATTATTTCACCTTCTTTCTGTCCACCCAGCCTGGTTCACACTGCGGTGTTCCTGGCCCTGTCTTCTTGTCTCTGTTGCTGTTGCCAGTGCCTTGGTTCAAGCCCTGAAGTCTGACCTGGAATCGACAGCCTTCCCGAGCTGTCCCCCGACCCACTGCCCCAGACCTGCGACCTGTCTTCTGTGCTTGGCTGTCTGCGTCCTTCTCTTCACCTGCCCTTTGCTGGAACTGAACGCTGTTGTGTTTTTCTATTAGGAGTTCACCAGCTCGGATTGGACACAGACCAGCTCCTTTTGTTAGAGACGTGCTACTCTTTCTCATCCCGTTTGAAGCTTTTTTATTGAGAGTTTTAGTAAGGTTCTGTTCTCGCGGCCCACCTGGCACAGGTCTTACTCTCTGAGCAGCCGCCATTCAAATGAACCTACTTGGGATCTTGCGCTGTTTTGCACTGACACCCTGGGCAGATGCCGTCCTACCCTGGGGAGTGCCTTCTGCTCTCCTTGTCCTGCTCTTTTTGTAGCCTCTCCTTATGATTTGGACTCTGAAGACGAGGTGAACTTTGACATCCATGTGCAGGCATACAGGCTGACCTGAGGGTCTATGTCCCAGCATGTATCACAAGGCTTTGCATGTGGCAGGTCGCCTTTGTCACCTGTAGCTGACATCATGCGGACAGTAGGTTCCTCTGCGGCTTTCCTTCGGATCCTGATGCGTAAGGGTTGGAAGTTTTGACTCACCTATTTGCATTTTGTCTTTTGTGCTCTAGGTCAGGATGGCTGACCGGTTGGCTTCCCACCTGGTGCCCTACGTCTCCGCTGCTCCTTAAAGAAGCTGAAGAGAAAATGTTAAAATGTAAGGCTTCCCACACGCCTGGACTCTTGGCTGAAGTGGAGCCAGTAGATCACCTTGCGCTGAAGCTGGAGATGAGGCTCTGTGGCTTGTTAGTTGTTGGCAAAAGAACTTTTTCCTCTTCCATGCCATCAATGGGTGGCAAAATGTGGAGGGGGCATTGTGAAACTCTAGTTAGGAAGGCCCCTCAGGAGCTCTGCTGCGGTTACCACGTTACTATTTACACGTTAGAAGTTAAAATTGAATAACTGAAAATATGTTAATGTATTAATTTATTTGAAAATAATAGTAAAAGACCCATGACAGGTTATTTTAACCTAGTACTTATTTTAAATAGAATGTGTGTTTAAAAAAAAAAATATATATATATATATACTCTTTCCAAACAAAAAATACTAAGAGGGGTAATGTTATTTACATGTTTGCAGATCTCTTCAGTGTCTGGCTTAATATAAGTCAGGTGGGTTGTCATACCTGTTTCCCTTTCAGTGTTGGGTAATCACTTACCACGTGAGCTCTGGAAAACTGCACTGTACACTCAACAGAATAGGAGTTGAAAGGAAAATAAAATTTTAGTATTGTTATAAAAATAATTTTGACCTCAGAAGATCTCAAGGGCCCCCCCACACACACACACTGTGTCCTCAAACTACGTGCCCTGAGAACAGATTCTAGGCATCCTGGGGCCTTGCGCAGTAGAAGTTACTGGACTGTAACCGAGTAACCTGGTTTAGGCCCAGATCTGCCACCAGGCCCCAGGGCCTCAGCTTCCTGGGTCTTCCCTGTAATGTAAAGGGGTGGAATAGTCCTGGGGGTTCTTTCTGGCCCCAGCATTTTAGGATTCTTTAATTCTGCACTTATATTGGTGTGGAGACTTTTTAGATGAAATGTCTTTTGGGCACTGAAGTTTATCTAAACTTCTCTCAGGGGCCCTGCAGGGGCTGTGGGTGCAGTTCTAAGCTGTGGTGTTTATTGTCCAGCTCTGTCGCCGCAGTTCAGAGGTGTGGGTCGAGTAGTACAGCCCGTACACATGGTTATTTTGCATGTGCACGTATCTGTTCATACCTGTTTTTATCCTCTTTCCCATGAATGGATTTTCTTGTTTGTACGTGTGATGATTCAGGATGAAGTGACCATAACTGGATATGTACTTAGGAAGGGGTAATTAGCCCTCTTACATCAATTTCTAATATGAAAATGAATTTCTCCTCACCCCTGTACCTCAGTAATGCTGTTCTCCATAAAACTGACAAAGTTGTTAATGTTGTTTACCAAAACAGTAAGAATTCTTGTCAGGAGGTGAGAAAGAGTGTGAGAAGCTCAACTCATGCGTTCAGGCAAGCGCTGATTCTCTACCCCTACATTACAGGGGATGAAAGAGGAGCGAGAACCAGCCCCGCTCCAGTATCACGCAGGAGAGTGAGTAGCTAATGCAGCGGCTGGGACTGCAGTAGATGAGCTCGCTCCTCAGTGTTCAGGTCATTTTTATGGGAATTCCCAGGCACCTGTGTTCAGATGCTGACGTGATTCGGCTTGGAACTGGTGCCCTCTCACTCCCCGTTGCAAACTCGTAGCTTCTTCCCACATAGGCACCCAGGGGTGTTCATATTCTGAATGAAGCCTGGTTTCCTCTTTAATGCCACCGTGTAAATACAAAACCTGAGATCCTTTCTTCTATTAAAAGGCAGAAACAACTGGTTGTCCATGTTTGGCCCCTGCAGGTGAGTATACACAGATAATTAAGGGGCGTACCTAGAGTGTAGTTTTTCACCTGTGTTATGGCTTGTGTTTAGATGACTCCCCAAAGTCTCATGTGGTCAGAGCTGTCTGGATCTAGATAGAGTGTGTGACTGATTCATGGTACAATGCTGGGATTAGGGTGTGTGATTACTGAGTCAGCCCACTGGTTGGTTTAGCACTGCCCTAGTGCCTGTAGCCTAAAGATAAAAGGGGCAGAAAGATACTGTGAAGGTCCCTTTGTTGCTTTTGCTATCTTGTGGGTGCCATGAAGTGTTTTCTGTGATGGCCCTTTGCCAAGACACCCTACCTTGGCGGCAACTGAGATGGACAGAAATCTCTAAACTGTGAGCTAGGGCTGGGGATACAGCTCAGCAGCACAAGCACCTGCCTGGCAAGTGCAAGGTCCTGAGTTCGATTCCTGGTACCAAGAAAAAAAACAGTCAATAAACTGTGAGCTTGTCTTGGTTACTTTTCTCTCGTTGCTGAGACAAAATACCCGACTCCCAAAATGAAGGAAGGAAAGGTTTATTTAGCTCACAGTTTGTGGAGGTTTCAGTCCATACTTGGCTGGCTCTGAGGGAGAAGATAGCAAAGCAACAAGAGCCAAGAGGGGAATGGCAGCCGAACAGCAAACAGCCAGAGCAAAAGGGAGGAATGGCGGCAAGCAGCTTCTTTCTCTGCTTTACTTTGTAAACAGGCTACCCCCACCTAAGGGGCGTGTAGCTCTCACATAATTTTTGCCCTCCTCTTTCATAGGCTCAGGATGTATACAAAGTAAGTATCCTGGCTTCCTGCTGAGTCACTTAGCCAAACCTCTAGACTCCCCAAGTTGACACAATGTTTCAACCATAACAGAGCTAAGTAAACCTTTTGCCCTTTAACTTTAGCTGTCAGGTATTTTGTCTCAGTAACAAGAAAAGTAACTAAGGTTGATACTTTAATGATAAAGAATTTCAAATTTCCTTCCATCTTTAGGTAATCTTGGATACTCTGTATTTAGACAAATGGCATTAAATGCAAGTTAAGAATTTTGATCTACAAGATTGTGATTATGTGCATTTTTCTGGGTGATTGTTGGACTTGAATTTGGGCTGCCTGGTACCTCATGCTGACTAGTTCCTACCTCATCTTGTTACCTTCTTGCTACTAAGCTTTGAAATGACTTATGGTTTCAGGTGTGTTTAATACGCATGCCATCAATCCTTTGCTAAACTCATGACAGTGTTCCCTGATTCTGTTGAGTCTGACTTCAGTCTTCAGTGCTTAGTTCGTCTAGTGTTCTATATTCTTTGTTACTGCCTGCAAAGCTAGAGACATGAAAGGGTGAGTCCAGGGACCACTAAGTCCAGCTCCAGCCACTAATTCCTTTGTTTATAGAATGGGAAGAGGTCAGGCAGTGATGACCTTCCAAACACTTTGGCTACAGGTGTCCGAGGCATGTCTGAGATGGATTTTCCTGCTTAGATAGAAAATGTGCTCATTCAGAATTGCTTGATTCAGTAAAATAATGTACTCTTTTTTGGGAGCTGACATAATAAAGGCTAAAATCATATGACTGGATGCCAGGCGCTTTTAGATGATTACTTTTTGGTTGCTTTGAGAATAATTTCCTCAGAGGTAGTGAAGCTAAGTAGAATTTCTCTTTTGTGTTTTTATTAGGTGTCCCTTGCACTTACCAGAAAGAACCTGTCCTTATATCTAATGGAAATAAAATATGGACACTGAAGTTCTCTCAGAATATTTCAAATAAGACTCCGCTTGTCCTCCTCCATGGTTTCGGAGGAGGCCTTGGACTGTGGGCACTGAATTTTGGAGCTCTTTCTACTGATAGACCGGTCTATGCTTTTGACCTGTTGGGCTTTGGACGGAGCAGTAGACCCAGGTTTGACAGTGACGCAGAGGAAGCAGAGAATCAGTTCGTGGAATCCATTGAAGAGTGGAGATGTGCACTGGGGCTGGACAGGATGATCCTGCTCGGACACAACCTGGGGGGCTTCTTGGCTGCTGCGTACTCTCTGAAGCACCCGCTGAGGTAGGTGGTGGTGGTGGGAGGGCGGGATCTTGGCTGTAGCACCCAGGCTGCTGCCCTGGTTTCCTGTTTGGTGGTCATTAGCAACTGGGCCTTCTAGGGTAATCATTCCCCTGGACCTGTAGACAGATGGCCACACCCGGTGGCCAGTTTCCTAGCTGAAATAATGGTACCAGGTTTTCCTGTTAAACTGCTACGTGTTGCTAAATTTGGTAAAGGACTGTATACTTGTTATTTAGAACTGCATGAAATTTAATCCATAATGTAAAACTATAAATAAAAAATAGTATGGTGTTGTTTATTGTTATTATCTCATTAAACCCGTTTTCTAGCAGGCTTTTCCTACCTTTTCTAAGTAACAGTAAGCTGTCTGGAAACCAGAAGGTTAGAAGTTAGACAATCCAGCCCAGTGGTGGCAAACCTATGGCATGCGTGCCCCAGCAGCTATTTGTGTCACTGAAAGCTCTGCAAGGTTTCACCATCACTGCTCGGGGCACTAGTGTTATCTTTGTAACTTAGAGTAAATTGTGGAACTATCTAAACTTCAGTTCCTTCAGTGTATTGTCTTCCAGGTGTGGTATTGTTTATTTAGTTTTGTTTTGATATTGGAGACTAAATCCACTGTCTCGCACCTGCTAGGCAAAGGCTCTACCACTGAGCTACATCCCCAGGCCCTCTTTTTTTTGAGACAGGATCTTGCTAAGTTGTCCTGGCTGACCTTGATCTTTCGATTTTCCTGCCTCAGCCTCCCAAGCAGCTGGGATTACTGGGATTACTGCATCCCCAGCCCAGCTCTTTTGTGGGTTTTGATTATACTGTTTCCTAACCTTCTCATCAAATGTGGTGGATTAACAACTGGTGGTCAACTTATAACACCCAGCTAAATTGCATAAGAGTGATGCTGGGTATGGGAGGCCCATCTCAGGATTGTTGCCAGCAGCATAAGATACAGAACAGGAGAAAAAGGAAGGAAGGCTGTTAGGAGCTGGTAGAAGCTGTAAGGAGCTGTTGGTTGTTTTGGAGGAGCTCGACATGCTGGCTTTCCTGATGAACTTGGCTGTTTTCATCCTCTGAGGAGCTCAGGACCTGTTGTCACTGAGAATGGCTTCGGATCACTTTGGGGAAGCTCTGGTCTGCACTTTGAGCACCACTTCCTGACTCCAGAGGGGGAGACAGTGCACTGCCAGTCTCCTGGAGAAGTTTGCTGTATTGACTTTCCTGATGGGAACTCAGCTGTCCTGACCATCAGAGGAGCTCGGGACCTCACTGTTGCTGAGGATGGCTATGGTGCCTTTCAGGGGAGCTCTGGTTCTTACTTTGAGGGTTGCTTCCTGGCTCCAGTGCAGATCCCTCAGCCTGCTAGCACAGATCCCTCATCCCACTGGCACAGACTTCCTAGATTCCACCACTGACCTTTGGGCCTTCCCAGCGCAGATCCATGAAACAGGCCTGCGTGAGATGTTGTCATGGGCTCTAGGACTCTAGCTGGACTCATGGGAGACAATGTTATGGGCTCTCCGTCTTCAGCTGGAGTCATGCAGGACATTATCATAGGATCCTGGTGCTCCTCTGGATTCTTTGGTCTTTAGTGTGTGGACAGATTTCCTGTACTCTTTTGTATATGGTTCTTTGGGTGACTATTATAAATAATCTTATAAAATATGTGTCCTGTATAATACTGTTTCTCCTTGCAAAAATATCCCCCTAGGGCCAGGGATATAGCTCAGCGGCACAGCGCCTGCTTAATAAGCGCAAGATCCTGAGTTCCAATTCCTGACCAAAAACAGAAACAACAAAACAAAAATATCCCCCAAACCACGACATCATGAAACTCTTTTTCAGTCATTGAATTAATGTTTGTTTCAAAATCTTGCTAGTGGTACCTTTTTGAAAATACTCTTTTCTGTCACTCACGCTACTGCTTGGAGAGGGGGTTGCAGTTGAGTGTGAGGAAAATAGAAGAAAAACTCTGCTTTGTTTTACTCATGTCTTGGGAAGGAAGTTGAAAAGCAAATGTTGGCATCTTTGTGTTACCAGGGTATTTTGCCACCAGCCTCACTTGAATTGCAGCGCTGCAGTGCTGTTGACACTGAGGGCAAGCGGGCGGCGGGTGCAGTCGTTCTCCGGGTCCCTGGTGGCGCCTCGTCACGGACTCTGGGCTGTGCTCCACACAGCGCTCAGCACGTGGTGCGGCAGCCTGGCTGCCGAAGCTCCTCCCTCTGGCACAGCGCTGTTTCTCCGTGGGGACGTGATCCCAGTTTCAGGACTCTTACCTGATTTTTCTGGAGAGATCGTAGCTCATCATGGGCGAGGCAGCAATTGTCTTGTCCGCTCGCAGGCCTGTGCTTTCAAAGGAAGCTCAAGTGGCCTTCTCTGGGTTGGCATTGTAGGGATTATTCTCATTCATGGTGCCTTGCTTTTAGCGACAGACACCTCGCTGTACGTGTGGAGGAGGAAAGGGAGGTGGATGCGTTCTGATGAAAGAGCTGTTCGCGAGCGCTGCCTCCCTTCACTTGTTTCTCCGAATGGGGTTTATTATGTCTGCCCTGTGAAGCTGGTGTCTGGTGCTTTCTCTGGAGATGTGACATGGGACCCTGTGGGCTGGACCCTGGTGACTAAACCCCGCAGTCTTGGCAACCTGACCCTTCATAGCCATCTGCTGATGGCATCAGGTGGTAAATTGGCTTTTGCAGCTGTGAGGTTCTCTGAAGAGATGGGGAAGCTTCTCGGGTCCGAAGGGACCTGTTTATAGAGAATCACCAAAAGGATCTAAACCAGGGTAGCAATCTTCATTGCACTGACTGCAGTTTAGGAAATGGTTACCTGATGTTCGTGCTAATACCGGAAGTAACTGTAGAGGACTGCATGACAGATGGATAGGAGAATGCTTGGAGTCATTAGTGTGTCTAAGTTCCTTTGGTCGCCGCAAAAACATTGCACTCCACAGAGCCTGTCGGGCACTTACGCCCGTGTTCTTAGCCTGTCTGCATCTCTCCCTGTGGTCTGATGTGAATGGGGGGAGAAAGCAAAGTCCACACGGTTTTATTTGTTGGGACTTGGTTACGTAAAACTGAAATGCTTTTTTTTTCTTGTTTGGCTGTTTGAGACAGGGCCTCATTATGTAGTTCAGGCTAGGTTGAGCTCAATTTGTAGCCTAGGCTGGCCTCACACTCACAACAATCCTCCTGCCTCAGCCGCCCGAGGGCTGGGATTATAAGCGTGTACCACCACACCCAACTAAAACTGAAATTCTTAAACACAAGTTAATTTCAACACAATGGCATGCTCTGGATTTTCCACTGTCCCAGCTGCTGTCACTGCAGATGAGCGTGTTCACGCTGTGGGGACCCGCCCTGGGGGAGGTCTGGCCCTGGGGACCACTTCAGGCCAGCGCCTCCCCGAGGTTGCTGCCACTGGATGCTGCCCAGCCTCTGGGGCACCTCCTCGGCCTTTGAGGCTTCTGGGGTGCACGGCGCTCCTCGGGTGGCCAGCAAGGGGCTGGAGCCAGGGTCAGTGCCTACACCGTCGTGTCCACCGTTCTCTTGACCCGGGCCACGTGTGTATTCCGCTTTCACGAGACTGAAACGGTTCTTACCGTTTTGGAGAGGTGTTCAGGCAGAGCGGGTGTGGGGAGGAGGCCATGCTGGAGGCCTGCTGATAGAAGTGGCGTGGACTTGGCCTCTAGTGGCAGCACCCGGGAAGTGCTGCGTGACTGCTGTCTCAGAGGGCAACCCTGGACTGGGCAGGGGGAGGGAATGTCGGCAGCGTGGCAGGAAACCCACAGGCCCTGTGTTCGGCGGTGCCAGGCCCAAATGGCCGGTGTGGCTGCGGGCAGAGACACTGTGACCTGCTCAGTGGTGACTCAGGGAGGCCACGCCCAATCCTCCTTCCTAGGAGAGGCTCTGCTCATCCCAGTCCCCTGCTCAATGTCCGATCACAGAGATGCCACCTGTAACTTCCGTCGGAGACTAATGTGCTGGGTCAGACAGAGGGCGACTCCCCAGGGAGAGTCCTGGCCCCTTTCTGTAAAGCCGGCTCCCTAAGGCAGAGCACACAGGCAGCAGTGACAGCCAAGGGTGCCGTCAGCTTTCTTCCAGTTCTGTGCTCAGAACTGGTTTTTTTCTCACAAGGTTTTTCCCCTCTGGTCCCTGCTGCTCAGAACCCCATACCAAGGCTATTGGTATTTTATAAGCATTTGCTATAAAGGAGGGAAAAGTAGGTCGTAGAAACTTGGAACTTGGAAGATGTTTAGTGAGAGATGCATCCTGGTTATGGCAGAGTAGGCTGTGTCTGGCTGTAGTCGTACCAGGTTTCCAGTCACTTCAGTTCGAGTGCATTGGAGACCTGGACCTGCCTGGGTCTGTCTTCCAACTCCGCAGGCTGGGGCTCCTGGGGTCAGAGGTGCTGAGGTCGTAGCCCCCGGCCTTCTCTTCCAGTGACGTGGAAACACCCAGGGCTGACTTCACCTTGGGATGCCGCCTTTGGGCCCTGACCAGAGTTCTTCCTGCACTTTTTCCTTGTTCCTTTCCTTGTTCTCAGAGCTCCCTGGTACCTTTCAGTTCTGGGACCGGTTGTTCTTGTGCTGTTTTTAGCTGGGGCAGATGGAATCTCACAAAGGCCAGGTTCACACGCCCGTTCAGCTCCAGCATGCTACCTGTGTCCCTCCCTGCACCTCAGCAGAGGGGATGAGGGGTGGTCCTTGTCACTAAAAGCAATAAAAACCCCTTTTACAGTCTCTTTCCTGTGCTGTCTTAGCAAGTATTTTCATGTGAGACTTCTCAGGCTGCGAAGTGCACTGAGACGCGGCACCCTCTGCATCACCGTCTACACTGGGACTCCTCGGTGCCCTGCCATCCGGGGCCCAGGCTGAGAACCAGCCGAGCGCGGCCTGGGTGAGCCTTAGCATTGTGCTGCGGGATGTGTTCAGGTCAGAAGCCGGCTCCGTGGCTTGCTGGCTTCTGCTCCTTGTTGGAGAGGGAAAACTGGGTTTCGGCCCTGCTTCTGCTTGGCCTTGCATTGTGTCCCGTGGTGCCTCACGGAGTGTCTGAGCTTCCCTCCCTCCTACAAGGAAAGTCCGTGCCGAGTTCTCCAGCGCCAGCAGAGCTCGGTGCCTGGGTGTGGTCTGAAGCTTTCTGTTTGAAACAATGCAAAGTAAAAATATTTCTCATTATTAGCTTACCTTTACATGAGTTGACAAAAATAATACAGGGATGTAATGTAAGCCGTGATACCGCCAGCACGTACTGCCTTTCGTTACCCCTCTCTCAGTCACAACTTAGCAGAAGGACTTTGCGATCACTGGCTAGCGCTGAGTCGTGCTTCATGCTAACGCTGTGTCGTGCTTCGTGTGCAATCATTGCAGCATGCAAAAGCACGATACAGCACGGATAGTTCTGGTTGTTCTTCATCGAGAACAAGATTCATAAGATGGGAAATAGAACTATTAATGGTATGAGACTGTTTCATATGACGTTGGAGTGAGGCCCTTTGCTAGTAGGGAGGAACTCTGGGAAGGACTGGGAGCCGTGTGTCCTGAGCCAGTGGTTGGGGCAGGGAGGATGTCCCATCTCACAGGGCCCATCCGCCCACACGAGTGGGCGTTTTCGGCCTGTGTGTGCAGGTATCATTCTCCTGTTCGTGGAAAGGGCATTTATAGTCCTTCTGGACCCGCGTGAAATCCCGACTTCTCTTAAATGTTTAGAATGATCGATTTAGAGGAGATTATTGCTGGGATCCAAGGCTATGTGATGAGTATGGTGCTTGATCTCCGCTCATTCCTGCAGTGTAGACCCTGAGGTACATGGGGCCCGTGGTTTATCCTGAGTGGTTGCTGATCTGTATCAACCGCAGGAGCACAGCTCAAATAAAAAACAACTTGTCTTAAGAAACAGTTCTGTACCCCACCTTGCACCTCTTTCCTTAGCCACAGCTGGATATTTTAAAACAAAGACCTCTCCACCATACGGTGCTCCGATCCTACCAGGTCTTGAGACATTACCCAGAGCGAGCGTGACGTGCCCTGTCGAGCAGTTGGTCTTCTCTTTAGCATCGACGTTTGGGAAGGTGGTTTGTTCTGCCTTGATTTGATAAGCCAGGCTAGTTTTTATAGTCTGAGGGTGAATTTGCGGTGACCCTGCCTCTGTTCTTCCCCACAGGGTCAGTCACCTCATTTTAGTGGAGCCGTGGGGTTTTCCTGAGCGCCCGGACCTTGCTGATCAGGACAGACCAATTCCGGTTTGGATCCGAGCCTTGGGAGCAGCTCTGACCCCCTTTAACCCCCTGGCTGGCCTCAGGATCGCAGGCCCCTTCGGTGAGTGCCACGTCCCAGGAAAGTGAAGTTAGTGCAGTGTGGGCGTCGGGGAGTGCAGGCTCCCCTTGGTCTCCGACAGGGCTGCAGCCCCCGTAACTTGCTCTATCATAAGTAGGGGATTGTGTGCCTCTGCTGATTGCGCCCCCTTCCGACTTGTATCAGCTAGGAGTGGCCTAGTGGCAGGTCCTGGAGACACAAGTGGTGGCTTCCCATCTGGAGCTCGTGGTTCCAGCGGTGGCTTCAGCAGCCAGCTCTCAGATGCCGGGTCTGAGGGGGAGAGGGGGAGAGACCCTTGACCTCTTCCCTCGTGACTCCTGGCTGTTTGCAATGGTGGTTGCCATACCCCTCACAAAGCAGCATCTGACCTGGGAGAAATGGAAGCAGAGAAATGGTCCTCCCTAACTGCGCAGATCTTAGCGACTGACCACTCAGGGCTCCTGCCAGGCCTGCCGAGGCCAGCTGCTGCCTGCTGATGGTGCAGGGGAGCCGCGGTGTGGGAAAACAGGAGGGCGGAGGCTGGGTGTGGGTGGTGTCACAGCTGTGTGCGGGGCTGGATTCTGTCCATTCCCCGTGCCTGCACCTCCTTGGAGAGCTGCTGAGGAACTTGACCCCACCGTCCACTCCCGAGGCATGAGTGGGTTCTGCTGCTCCCGGGACACAGTCGCAAACAGGGAGCGTGAGGTCGAGAGACAGGGGCAGGCTGGCCCTCAGGCTGGTGGGCACGGGGGTCTGCGGCGCCCGGTCCTCTTGGTGGAGGGGAGATGTCTGCACAGGTTGGGGCGATGCAGCAGCAGGCCTTACTGGAGCGGTGGCACTGGGCCCCGAGTGGACGCTCAACCTTCTTTCCCCCCAGAGCGGGCTGTGGGGCCACAGGGTGACCTTGGGGGTGCTGGTGCCCCAGACAGAAACTCGTGTTATTCTCCTGCAGAAGTGTGATGTACCCTGATTGCTTCCCTTGGAAAGCTGATGTGCTGTAATTTTGGAGAGAAAACAAGCAAGCACATTAATTTTATTGGTAGCCTGCTCCAGCTACTGTTTAAAGGCTTTATTTCTCTAAAATATAGTCTTAGAAAACTGACTGATTTTGTTGAGCTCCTAATGCACATCTGTAAGTCGGTCTACTACATTCTTCAGTTTCTGTTTCCCTGTTCCTTTGGGAACTTGAGAGCGACTTTAGGAGGGGGTTTTCTCCGCCTAAAACATAGATGTGAACGCCTGCGCATGACCCTTAGCTCTCCATAGTGGAGGTCCAGCAGCTAACTGTAGCTTACAACTTCCGTGTGTTTCCTGTTGAATAGGTCTGAGTCTAGTGCAGCGTCTGAGGCCTGATTTCAAGCGGAAGTACTCGTCAATGTTTGAGGATGACACCGTGGCGGAGTACATCTACCACTGCAACGTGCAGACCCCCAGGTGAGCCTTGCTGTGATTTGCTTTAAACTTTCCTTTTCTGAAAATATCTTAGTAGCACAGGTTTTTATCAGTGGTTGAATAAAAAGGGCAAATGTCTAATGCTGCTTTTTTAAAAACTCAATGTCCCATGTATGCTAGACATGCTATATGTCCAGCCCTTCTTAATTTTTATTTTGAGACATGGGCTCACTCATTTGCCTATGGTGGCCTTGAATCTGTGATCCTCTTGCTTCAGCCTCCTTAGTAGCTGGGATTGCAAGTGTGTACCTTATCCAGACTGACTAAATCTTCGTAATTACTCATCTATTCACACAGTAGCAAACACTGTACTGAGTTCTGAGGGGGACTGAGGAGGGGGATGTGCTCTCTTCCCCTAAAGTACTTGTGGGTGAGGTGAGGCAAGGAAGTGTGGGTCTAAGAGGTGTCCTGCATGGGAGACAGAGAGGAATCTCGCGTGAAGCGGTGTCCCAAGACAGTGTGAGTGCTCTGCAGCAGAGGGTGCCCGTGAAGCAAACGGAAGTGGCCTCAGGACCCTCCCTGTCCCGAGGCCGCTGAGCCAGTGAGGGCCTGGGCCGTGCAGCCAGCCGCCCCATGCAGCTCTTCCCATCTGTATGGCGGGCGGCGCGGGAGGCACAGCTGCAGTGGAGAGGCTGCACCTGCGTGTGCCTGGACAGGGCAGAGACCGAGTGGATGGCAAGGGCAAGCGCCAGGTGCCGTTGTTCGCAGCCCTGACCACAGGCGCTGGGTGGCACAGGGCCCATGAGGCGCTCACGGAGTTGGGCAGCCCTGAGTCCCGGGAGGAGCAGCAAGAGGGCAGAGATGAGCCTGGGCCCTGGGCCCTGGGCCCTGGCACTGCAGTGAACGTGGGAGCTGGTGCCAAGCACCGTGTGGACTCCTGCGTTTGGATGCTGGCTGTGACACACACTTCGGGTGATGCAAGTGCAGTGTGGGCCACACCTCACACGCGGAAGCCTGCCTACTCCAAGCCGGACACCTGGGCACAGACGAGCTTGGCCCTTGCCCCTCCTTGCTTTGAGCAGAACATTCGTTCACCTCCTGCTTCGTGCACAGACTGAGGCGTGGCAGTCACTGGAAGAAAAGTGGGGTCTGGACCTTGCTGGCCGCCGGCCCTGGTGGAGGGGTCGATGGTGCCCTTCTCCGCCCTGCAGGGTGCTCAGTCTCAAGCCCTCAGTCTGGGGGCTGGGAATTTAGCTCAGCGGCACAGCACCTGCCTGGCACGTGCAAGGTCATGAGTTCGGTTCCCGATACCGGAAAAAAACCAAACAAACAAAAAAAATCAAGCCCTCAGTCTAGCTCTTGCACTGCGAGGGCTCTCCTAGCACTGTTCCTTCTGCTACATCTCAGGTGATTTTCTATCTGAGCGGAGATTTTCCCTAAACCCTAAAGCAGCTGAGTAGGGGCCTGATTCGGGAGCAAGGAGACAGCAGCACCTCCTCAGCCCGAGTCACACGGTGTGCTTTCCCCGTTCCCTTCAAAGTGGCGAGACCGCCTTCAAGAACATGACCATCCCCTACGGCTGGGCGAAAAGGCCGATGCTCCTGCGCATTGGGAAGCTGCACCCCGACATCCCCGTGACCGTGATCTTCGGGGCCCGCTCCTGCATCGACGGCAACTCTGGCAGCAGCATCCAGTCTCTGCGACCCGAGTCCTACGTGAAGACCATAGTAAGTGTGCGGCGGGGCGTGGTGCGGGTGCGGCCTTAGATAGCACCTGCTGCGTTACCCGGAGGTGAGGTGTCCAGGCACCCTCCACATCGCGCATCCCCCAGCCTCAGCCAGAGCCTGCTGTCGGGGCGGGGTGGGGTCTGAGCCACGCGGGGTCTGTGTCCCAGCAAAGCCCCTGGCCGTGGTGGGGAGAGGCGTCCAAGGCCGCCTGCTGGGCACAGCCGGCTCTGTTCAGCTCTGCCGCCCTGCTCCATAGCGGTTGCTCTAGGCTGGGCGTTGGCATGTTAAAACTGCAGTAAGATTCAGTAGAGTTTCCTGCTTATTCTCAGATGTTTTTGCTAGAAGCCCTTCGCAGTTTCTGTAGATCGGTCTCTCCGCTCTTTCAGCTTGGGGTTTTATTTAAATGTAGCGACTGCACTGTTGGTTTTCAGCAGCTGCGTAACGCGGTACCTCGTTAACGCTGTTACTAACCACGGCCCTGTCCCTGCCCAGGCCATCCTCGGGGCCGGGCATTACGTGTACGCGGATCAGCCCGAGGAGTTCAACCAGAAGGTGAAGGAGATCTGCCGCTCGGTGGACTGAGCGGCGCCCTTGCCCGGCGCCTGGAGGCGGCACGGCTCCTCAGGAGTAACCGGAGCCCGGCACCGCGGGGCCAGCGCCGGAGCGGCCGCCTCGACTGTGCCTTGCGCCAGGTTCCATCGGGGAGGCGCCTGCGCACTCACACCGTCAGTGCCTTCGAGCAGAGTGGGCTCCTCCCTCCTGCACACACACAGTCAAGATACAGGAGAGGCTCCAAATTTAGTAACTTTAAATAAAAGGCTATTTGTCCCTCTGATACACTGAAAAATTGTACTTTTTTAACCAAGATTGTTTTTTCATTTTTACCTAACTCTGCTAGTCAGGTACTTTTCATACTGTGGTATATCTTGCCAATTTAAAGAAATGATTTCTGGGTTTCTTGTGCTACATCTTGTAAGAGTGCACTTTACTTTCTTGGCATGTATTTATCATATCTTGTAACAGATACGGTTAATCCAAATGTCCTTCTATGTGAAAAAGTGTCGTTTAAACCCTTTACTGTTGAATTGAAGTGAAAAGTCAGGCTTTTCTGAAAGGATGGGAGTTGGTCACTAGCAGGAATTGTTCTGGTTTCCCCGTTTTGTACCTAAGGCTGCAAAGCCCATGTCGGTCAGCATTTGCATCGCGCTGTCTCCCGACTTCCCGTCCCACAGCAGCACCACTCCTTGGCACTGTCTATGTGTGCTACAGCCCTGCATCTCTACGAGGTGGGATGTTTGATTCCTTTTTCTTCTCCCACTAAATGTTAATCTTTGCCAGGAGCCAGGGCACAGCAAATGGCCCAGGTTTCCTCCTTCGCGGGGATACAAAGACTGACCTTCAGAGGCTGGGTCGTATGTTTTCCTAAAATTTAACTCTTGTGTATGGGTGCTAAAAAACTGAATTACATTTTTACCACTAAAATATGAAATGAGCTAGCACTGGGTTTGTTTTTTATCGAGTACTGTGTTGATTAAATCATTAACATACTTGAAGTTATATTCCAAAAATTCTACCATGTTGACTGAACTATTTGACAGTAATTTCCATCAAGTGTAGCACTCTTTTTGCAGTTTTGGAATGCGGAGGACTTGGAAACTGTGAAAACTCTCACTGTGGTAAAGGCTGCTGCGGAAACCCTCTGCAGGAGAAAACGGAATAGGACTGTCCCTGGGAAGGCTTCTGCCTTCTGTTTTGTTACCTTTGCTTATCTGGGGAAAAGGCAAATTCTGTAAATAAAAACAGTGAACTGGAACAAATAATGCTTCATGGCTTGGGTTATTGTAGTTTTAAAACCGTTAATTAAGGCATTTGTTGTTTTTCTGGAAGTGAAGTGTAAGACCTTATCGCTATTGATGAACGGCCCGGAAGCCTGGATGTTGTTTTCAACACCCTCTCTCCCAGCAAAGAAAAGGCAAATTGTCCTGAAGCCCAGCACACAGCTTCCTGAGGGGCAGCCCTCTGTCTGCTTAGTGCCCGAGGGCAGTGCTGCTGGGTGAATGGCGATTTCACCTGTACGGGAAGGGTCCTGCACGGGAAGCTGGGTCCCAGGCCCTGCGGGAAGTGTCTGGGTTCCCTCAGTAAGTGGACTCTGGCCACAGGTGTGCCCCGTAATTCAGGAAAAGGCTGTACCTACATACCAAGTGAATACTTTCCTACTGACTTTGCTTTATTTGAAGACTGTTGTCGAACACTTTATAAATTCTACCTTAGGGTGCACTGTATGCACCCTCAATTTTGTAAAGATTGAGCTAGCAGTGAAAGTCACAACCCTAGAATTCTTGAAAATGCAGTGGGTGCTAAATATTCTTCTTTAAAAATCCATGTTAGTATTGCTAACATGTAAAAATCCATGTTAGTATTGCTAACATGGATTGCTAAGTTGTGCACACTGTACTTTGGACTGTTTTCTAGAATACATTTTTGCGAGCGTTTGCAGTGAGACAGCTGTGGACGTGGAGGCTTTGGCGTGGACCAGTCTGCGTGTCATCGTTGGTGCAGGATGCGGGGCCGATGAGCACAGACACTTGTCTGTCCTGAGGACGGCGGTGCCACGGTTTCCAGCACCTCAGCTTCCCCGCTAACTCGAGAGGGAAAGGGCCAGTCCAGAATACCTTGTGTCAGCCAGCAGGCAGGCCGTGAGAAGAGGCGACAGCAGAAGGGCCCGGCAGCCAGCTCACAGGGGATCTCCTTGGCCAGAGTGGGACAGTTGGAGTGACAGAAAGAATGAGGGGTGAAATGAAATATACAGACCCATGAGATTATGATGCTTTTAAACAAAGTGGTCAGCTTTGGCAGTTACTAGGACACCGAGTCAGTAGTTTAAAAATTCCTGATGGGAAAGAGGAGATGCTTATCCTGTCATCTTTGTTAGCATGTTAATCTAATAAGGGGAAGTTCTTCAAGTAGAACTCATTACCGAGAACCAGAGGTATGACAGGATTTCACACCAAATAATGAATCTAGGCTGCTGAAATTACTAGGTAAAAAGTTAATATTTCACGTGATGACTTAGTCTGATAACATCTAAATCTAGATCAATTTTAGCATTATTGAGAAAGGACCAAGTAGACATTACATCCCTCTGATGTGTTACGGTAGCTACAGCTCAGCAGCACACATGATGAATTATTGCCCCAGACAAACAAAATCGAACTGAGTGTGATCAAGTTTTAATGTCTAACAAGTTTACTTTGAAAACACTAGAAATTAGCTGGCCACAGTGATACTTACCTGTAATCCCAACACTGGGAGACTGAGGCAGGAAGATTGCAAGTTTGAGCCCAGCCTGACCTACACAGCATTTTAGCAAGACCAAATCAATCAATCAATCAATCAGTGTAGCTCAGCAGAAAGTCCCTGCATTCAAACCCCAGTACCCCCCAAAACAAACAAAAAATCCACTGGAAATTAATTAAGAAATATATCAAGATGTTAATCCAGAAGGTGGCAAGTTCCAAATAATCATTTTCTTCAGGCAATTGCAGCTGTAAAATAAAAATGATGGAATTAAAGTTTATAAAACCTCCTTGTATGCATCCTCATTTGAACAGAACAAGCCTAAAATAACATGTTGAAACATTTAGAGAAAAGTTTAAGGACCAGGTTTCAGATGATATTAAGGAATTGTTAATCTTGTGTGAAGTAATGGTATAGTGACTTTTTAAAGGCCCTTGTCTGTTAGAAATTCACTACAACTATTTTTGGTTGATATTATGATTGACATATGACTTAGATCAAGCTGAATATAATCCAAAGAAGAAAGAAAACTCAACAAAACTGGGCAGGAAGAAAATTTGATACTGGGTGGCAAACACCTAGGAGTTTAGGTGTCTACATTGTGCAGTTCCATAATACAGGCAGGTGTAGTGGAACATGTCTGTAATCCCAGCACTCAGGAGGCTGAGGCAGAAGGATTACCAGGAGTTTGAGGCCAACCTGGGCTCCATAGTGAGTTCAAGGCCAGCCTGCACTACATAGTGAGACCTTGTCTCAAAAAAAGCAGTAAAACAAAAATTCCCATCATTGGAATTTACAGCATAACAGAACAGGAGGAAAGATTGGAGGGTGCCAGTAAAGACAACATTTTGCAGAGGTGGACAGAAAGCAGAGTGTGGGAAACCGCTGGTGGGGGCCCTGTGGCCATGGGGAAGGAGGGCAGGGAGGTCCGAGGAGTGGGCCGAGCAGTGAGCAGGCTGGCAGCAGGCGAGCTTCTTGCTCTTGGTTGGCCTGGAGTAGCTGTCGCCCCGTGAGAAGCCCCTGAGCAATAGACGGCAAAGCCAGCAAAGTTAAACAGGATGGTGCCAACGCGCAGAGCCGCCCCAGGATGCCCATCCTGCAGCGTCGTAGCGGGGTTAAATCATGGTACTTTCATAAATCGAGCTGTGTGAAGCATTTCCGGGATATCTTTAATTTAAAAAAGAAACCCAGCATGCAGGCTATTTCAGACACTCACCGCCGTCCACACATGCACACATGCGTGCGTGCGGAGCGCTGTCTGAAGTCTCTGAGCACTCAACCGCACACATATGCTCATTTACATGCACAGCATTTGGGGGAAGCTAAACACTGGTGTGAGTTTGTTGACAGTGCTTGGCTTTGGACAGGGACGGTTCCTTCTGTTGTCTGTGCTTTTGTAAACTTTGGAGTCTTGTGCATTCATTGTATTTTAGTAAGCCTATAAAGTATAGAAAAAATCTTTTAGGATGTTATATTAAGTTAGAACTGGCTAGAATTATTGTGCCTGCTTTCTGACTATGGCCTGGCTTTATGCTCACTTAATTAGATTAGCTCTCCAATTTAAAATTTAAACCAGGCATAGTGGCATGCACCTGTGATCCCAGCACTCAGGAGGCTGAGGCAGGAGGATTGCTATAAGTTTGAGGTCAGCCTGGGCTTCATAGTGAGATCAAGGCCAACCTGAAATACATAGCAAGACCCTTCCTCAAAACAAATAAGAATAGTTTTAAATTATTTTGTCAGTTATTTCTGAATGACATAGGTAAGGAATTTTATTCCAGCATGTAGTTTAATCCTTAAAAATGTTTCTATATATCCACTAGAGGCTTTAAAGTTTTCCATGAAGTGCGTGTTAGTTGAGAATTTAATCATGCTGCTGTTGGGAGAAGGGTCCCTCAGCTGGCGGGTGTGAGGGAAGGGTCCCTCAGCTGGCGGGTGTGAGGGAAGGGTCTCCCAGCCGGCTGTCCCACAGTGTGTGGCCTGGACACTTGGCAGGGAGGTGCCTGTTCCTCCTGGGTGCAGTTGAAAAGGAGGAGCTTGAGACACCCAGTGGGAGGGCAGATATACCACACGTTTCCAGTGTATTTGCTGTGCTCACTCAGAGCTGTTTCCCTGCTTTCCTGGTGGGGGTTTTGATCGCTAGATTGTGTATGAGACCAAGACGCCAGACACCAGTGACCAGCATTTCACCCGCCCCTGCCAGTGGGCCGGCTGTGCCCCTGCTGACTCACGAAAGCCCTGGCAGATCTCTGCTGCCTGGAACACGCTGTTTCTGTGGATGCTGGTGCCCACGGTGGACAGGTGGGCAGCAGGTGTTGGGGACAGCACACACGGCCCAGCTGGAGTGGACTGCCTGCCCCAGAAGCCCTCAGGGATGACCTGGCCAAAGGAGTGAAGTACCTCTGAGCCCCGGTGACCCTACAGCTTCATGTGGCCAGCACCACATGCGTGGGCAGTTGATACATCTTCCTTGGCCGTCGAAGTGAGATCACCTCACCCCGGCACAGCCTGGCCCAGCAGTGCACAGTGCCCACCCTCGGCCCCCGACACCGAGACACAAGCAGCCTCAGGCACCTGCTGCTGCGCTTTAAGGAGGGGCCACACTGACTGTCCCAAGCCTCCCGGGAAAATGGGAAAATGGTCTGACTTAGATGTCTGTGTCCTCCACCAGGCCGGGCAGAAACTCACCAGGACTGCAGATGTAGCTTGTCGCCCCAGCACAAGTGAGAATGTGAGGCCCTGTGTTCTGGTGTAGCAAGCGTTTCCTCCTGGACCTGTGCAGTTTCCAGGCCCAGGGGGCTGACACTGATCAGGAAAACACGCTACTCCGAACTCTTTCTCCTTAAAAGAAAAGTTAATCTAGGCAGAATGTAGGGGGAAAAATAAACAGCAAAAAAAATCCAGTAAAATTATTGTCTCTGCTATTCTTTATGAAGCATAAAGTAATGCCTTTTTAGGATACTACTTAAAATGTAGATGTAATAATTTAAAAGTCACTTAAGCCACACATTAAAATTTTGTACATTAAACTTTGGCAATGTCAGTAACTCAAAAGAGATGAGTGCAGAGTTGAAATAAAAAACAGGCTTAATGGGGCATGCTGGTGCATGCCTGTAATCCCAGCACTTACGAGGCTGAGGCAGAAGGATTTTTGCAAGTTTGAGACCAGCCTAGGCTACAAAATGATTTCAAGGCCAGCCTGAACTGCATAGTGAGACACTGCCCCAAAAAGACAAAAAAAAAAAAAAGCTTAATATTACACAATAGATTCAGTGGCAGGGGATGCTTTCTATACTAATTAATTAGAACAAAATGTATTTTTAAAAAATTGATTTTAGGGCCAGACGATAGCTCAGTGGCACAGCGCCTGCCTGGCAATCACAAGGTCCTAAGTTTGATTCCTAGTATCAAAAAAAAAAAAAAAGGAGTGAGTGCTCCAAGAGCTGCTGGTCCCATGGTGTGAGTCCGTGCTTTGCTCACACTGCCACAGCTCCCAGCTGAAACTCACGGAGAGAACCAG